CGGATTCCTCGTCTTGAGAGCTTTCTGTTGGTATCTCGCACGCCTTATTTGGATGAGTAAATCTCAAGTTATGGCTCAAACAATCAAAGCTACGCACTGAAGAACGAACCTGCGGACTGCTCTCCTCCTTCCTTCTCTCTTGGGTTGTGTGGATTCCCTTGCTCTCTTATCTCTTTGGGGGTTCGAATGGGGTGTATGGGGGGTGTATTAGGAGCCCCTAAACATTCTAAAAGAGTATGTGGCTCACAAAAGAACATGGGAGATATTTGGTTTGCAATCAAATATGGGGTGGACCTCCCCTTTTTGTTTTCTCTTGGAGTTTTTGTGAATGTGAGCCAAGAGTCCGCCCCATATGGTCTTCTCACCTCTTCTCACTTGTTTTGCAGGTACTAAGTCCATGTGGAATGGTTCCCAATTGATCCCAATCATTTTGGGATCCAAATTATCTACCAATACTTCCAAAAATGGGAAAATGGGTCCTATTGTTTTATCTTTTGTCAAAGATGTCTTTTTGTACTCATCCTAATTCATTTAGGACAAGTCAACTTCCTTCATCACATTATTGATTTCCAATATGTGTAGGTTTATCACAATAATTTACTTAATGGATATTATAGAAGAAAAATCCTACTCCCATTATTTAGCTCAATAATGTTAAAGATGGGACTATAGGCATTTGTATTCTTCTTTAACCATTCTATCACTTATTTGACATTTGTCATACATATTAATGGGCTACTAACCGTGTGGGTCACTCCCGAGTGGGTCTAGAACGCCATTCCCGAATACTTGCTATTTTAGCGGGTTGGGCTCAAAATAACGTTTGGGCCGTCCGACCTTACTCGGATTGTCTTGAAAGATTATGTATCACTATTTGGATAATGTTGGGCTCTTTTATTTATTAATAAGACCCAAATAGTATTTGCATGCCCGACACTAATACACGAGTTCGAACAGTACACTAATCGATCATTAATTACGTAAAACATTAATTGTTTTACAAAATGTTTGGGAATCAGAAATCCAATACCTAAACTTTGAATTTTAAATCGAATTTTCAAGGACGTTCGGGAGCGGTGTCACAGGTTTGGCCCTGAACGGCGCCGGTTTTGCCAATTTTTTATGCCCCCAGACTTTCTATTTTGGACCGGCGCCGGTTTGGGGCCCTTCGGGTGCCGAAAACGTCATTTTTCGCCCTAAACCGACCCCAATTGTTGTTGTTCACATCCTAGACCTCGATGACATTTTAAACAACATTTCAACACCCGAATACTATCTAACATGACAACTAATCTTAATATACCATTTCATCCGGAATAAAATGATTATTACGGTGTAGTTTCGTGGCTCATCGGGTACCGTTGCCTGTCATGATAAAACATATTTCAAGTATATAAGTTCAAACACAATTATTATAAAGTTCATAATCACATGCTATCCATATACTTCACATACATAGCATTCAAACCGTAAACTAAAACATGATCATATATAAGGTTAACTACCACATAAGGAGTAGATAAAAAGTATTGTCGTTACACTAGATTACTCCAGCCTCCCCCAGCCCCCTCCCCGAACGCCCCATGGAGTAAAAAAAAAAGGAAAAAATAGGGACGAAGGTAGTATTTAACACGTACTCTTTTCATAAAAACTTATTAATAAAATAAAGAAATATTATATGAGAATATTGTTAAAATAATTCCTTTCAAGAATTTGAGTAGTTTCAACTTCAATGTGATCATTTTACAATTCAACGCGCAAAATCATTTATGGTATGATAAAAGTGTAGGTTAATATAGTAAACAACTTACATGTATCTTTTATTTTATATCATTTCCCTCATTCAATAGTTTTTCTATTAAACTTGGTCGACGAGGACATTATGAGTTGCTCCCGATGAATTCCAAGTCCTACTTCGGTGTTGACTGGTAATTATAGTTCAATATTTGTCAGTTGTTTGAGGATTGGTGGAGTGTTGTAGTGTTATCTAATGAGCCTAATAGAAATTTGGACTTAATGAGCTTAATAGAAATTTGGACTTATTCGCTCAGCCATATAATGGTGTTTACTTGTGACTTAATGAAAATGAGGACTTATTCGCCAGACATTTTAGGACTTATTGGCTCAGCCCAATTTTAATACTCCTTACCATTCAGACCTAACTTTACAGCCCGATTCTCTTTTATAACCCTTGCATATACTTCACCGCTGCAGCACATCACTTCTGCGACTCTGCGAGCTTCACAAATCGGCGACCTACGAAGACCAATCAGCCAACCAACGAACTTCACCTTGGTATTTCCTTAGATTTCTTATCTGCTTTTATATTTTTCTTTCTCTCTTTCTTAGATTGCAGCCTTCCCCTTCTTCATTATTGTCCAGTTATTAAACTTCAATCTACTTTCGGTGTATGGTAAAATGAGAAATAGATTATAGATGACCGCAACATCTGGAACCCACTGCTGTAGTACAGCTTGAAACGGCCATTGTGTGGATTTAGGTGTAAAAGTTAGAATACTATTAGCATGTGGAAACAAACTTAACATATTTTTCCTGAAAATATATTACCTTGAAATGGCCGATGAGTGAAGTAGCTTATCCACTAGATATTTAATTTTGTCATTAATACTTCGATAGGGCCGAAGTAGACTGTAGGGGGGGGGGGGGGAACTTTCTGCTTTGTGAAATTAAAATTTGGATACTGCTTAACATTATGAAATTAAAATTTGGATAGAGCTTAACATTTTGAAAATAAAATCAGTTGGGAAAAACTTAGGTTCTTAAGGTGTTGATTTAGGAAAGGGGAGCAACTAATACTTTTAGTTTTGCCCAAATTGTAATTACAAAATCAGTTAGAAAAAGTTAGCTTTGCCATTTATAATGATGATGAAGTAGGTCTCTTGAAACTACTTTAATTTTTTATTTGTTGTTGCATATCTTACGGTATTAACCTTTGTAATTACACTTTTTAGAAGAATTTTACTTCTTTCAAGAATTTTAGAGTTATTGCTACATACTTATCTCATTCTTTAGGTATGGAATACGGTGGCGAATCCGAAAAACAAAAAAGGTGTAGGATAAGTTGGAAAAACATGAATGTGGTCAAAACTTTTCTTGAGACTTGCATTCAAGAAATTTCGATAAATGGGCGTGATGGGAGTAGTCTCAAAGCACTTTCATGGAAGAAAGTCACTGAGGTTTTAAAAAGTACTCATAACTTTTCTGTGGATCGCAAGCAAATGAAAAATCATTATGATTATCTTAAGGGAAAGTATGGAGCCTGGTTACTACTAAAAAATAAAACAGGCAATGTTTACGATCCGTCTACCAACACCTTTAATCATACATCTGTGATGTTGTATATTCGAACACTCATGTTTACAGATAAATACTACCTTTGTGATGCTGCATATTCGAACACTCGTGGTTTCTTGGCTCCATACCGTAACACAAGGTATTGGTTATCAGATTTCCAACGGAGGCATGCATTGACTAAACAAGAAAGATTTAATCACGCACATGCACAACTTCGAAATGTTGTTGAACGTACTTATGGTGTGCTGAAAGCAAGATTTCCTATCTTAGACAAGATGGCTCCTTATCCATTTCCGATTCAAAGAGATGTGGTGATTGCTTGTTGTGCTGTTCATAATTTTATAAGAAAATGCAACATTCAAGATGACCTATTTGAGGAGTGGGATGATGAGGATATATTTAACAATGAAGGAGGACAAAGTCAAGATAGCGTAGAAGAAATAGATGGAACACAATGGGGTACCCAGAGCATTCAATATATGATGAATTTACGGGAAGAAATTGCTAATAAATTAGTAGAAAATGTTTAAATTAAATATGTTGTCGTAATACTCTTGAACTTGTTTGGTTGTTTTTGTGAACTTGTTTGCTCAGCAATTTAATATTATACTACCTCCGTCCCATAATGGTTGTCCACTTTCAATTTGGCACGATTATTAATAAAGTTGTTGAAAAGTAAAAGTTGTGGTTGAGATTTGAGTAGAATAAAGTGAATTGATAAAAACCACATATTTCATCCAAAAAAGGAAACAAGACATTCATTTTGGGACAACCCAAAAAGGAAAGTAGGAAAACCAAAATGGGACGGAGGGAGTAATAAATTTTATGCAATAACAATGTTATCCAGATTAGTTAGAGTAAACAGACAATATAGTTTCAGCACTTGTTACAGGCAGAAGGATAAATTCGTAAAATGACATAATTCAGACTATACATTCAGCACACATAGTAAACAGCTTGTTATACCAGTGGCACTTATTCCAGACAGACGTCTTAATGCAGACAGACGTCTTAATCCAGACAGGACTTAATAGAAAAAAAAGTAAACAGGCCCTAACTCTGGCATTCGTGACCTTGCAACTTGTATGGCGTTGAATCCTGTTGATATAAATACTAAATATTGTGCCTAGAACAGGAAAAAATAAGGTTGTCAGAACTATGTTGCAGCCTATAGAGTTACATTAGAGAAAATATTGCTACTCTCAAATCAATCTTGAAGAATGGTTACAAAGTGTGGGTATCAAACACATATAGTTTGAGGCATTCAGCTACTCACAGGGTCATATTATGAAGTTTTTTTTTGAAAGGGTCATATTATGAAGTTAAAAAGTCAGTTTTGTTAAAGTTTTTTTACCATTTGAAATATTAATAATTTTGTTATGATTGTAGTAATAAGACAATCAGTATCACTCCCATATAAACTAATTTTTCGGATTGATGGTCAGAGTCTTGTACTAATTATAACATTAATTAATATTTTCACATTGATGACAATTAAGTGAAGTTTTTCTTTGTCATTGTTATTACACACAAAAATTGGACATTTTTTTCACCGTACAACTCGCCCTACAAATTAAAACTAGTATGTTTGTAAAAAGCGTAACTATTTGGAGTACCATATTTGCATAGAAATGTCATTTTTCCATATGAAAAAAGTTAGTTGTAAATGAAATTTGTAAACATACATTTATTTTATTTTATGGATTTTGGATGGATACACTATACAGGCAGCTTGGTGAGAAGTGGCTTGCAGGAACCCCAAGCTTACAAGAAAGCAAGCTGAGGCACCATCACTGTTTAATTATCCAAAACCAAAATGCGGAAACCCTGGTTTCTGGCATTCCTCCTCCAAGCCATTGCCGCCGGGGGCGTCGGATTTGGAGTCGGAATAGGCGGTCGCGGGGTTTGGATTGGCGGCGGCGGCGGCGGCAGTTCAGACCCAGAGCTGTCAAAGGCTTACACTGCTCTGCAAGCGTGGAAATCAGCAATCTCAAATGACCCGATGGGGATCTTGAGTACATGGGTTGGCCCAAATGTGTGCAACTACAAAGGCGTCTTCTGCTCAGAGGATGGGATGTCACCAGCTGGTAGCAGGTATAGATCTGAACCATGGAAACCTTCAAGGAACACTGGTAAAGGAGCTGTCTTTATTGTCAGATCTCTCCCTTCTCCATCTAAACACCAATAGGTTCTCCGGCCCAATCCCGCAGACCTTCTCAGCCCTCAAATCACTCACAGAGCTTGACCTGAGCAACAACCAATTCTCAGGGCCTTTCCCAACCACCCTTCTCCTTATACCAAACCTTCGATTCAACACCTTCTCAGGACCCATTCCGGATGAACTGTTCAGCAAGAATCTCGATGCCATCTTTCTGAATAACAACCAATTCAGTGGGGAGATTCCTCAGAATTTGGGCACCTCTCCATCTTCGGTCATAAATCTGGCCAATAACAACTTGTCCGGTGAAATACCCTTCAGCCTGGGTGGAAGAATTAAGGAGATACTGTTCCTGAACAACCAGCTGACGGGATGCATCCCGGAAGGGGTTGGGCTGTGGACGGATTTGCAGGTTCTGGACGTGAGTTACAATGGTTTGGGCGGGCGGTTGCCGGAATCGATGTCTTGCCTGACGGAGATGGAAGTGTTGAACTTGGGACATAACAGGCTGAGCGGGGAGTTGGAAGATTTGGTTTGTTCGTTGAGGAGGCTGGTGAATTTGACACTGGGAGACAATTTCTTCTCAGGCATGAGTCAAGGATGCAAGCAGCTGCTTTCCTCGAGGAATGTTGGTTTTGATTTCTCATTTAATTGTATCCCGGGAAGGGAGATGCAGAGGCCCCAACCAGATTGTTCTTTCATCCATGGAGGTAGTTTGAGCTGTCTTAGAATCCCCTCTGTGGTGAAGCCGTTGATCTGTGGAACATTGCTTGGTGGTGAGGAGGCCGCTGCTGCTGCTGCTGCTATCCAAAGCCCTCCTCGATCCTCCTCCTTCCCACTGAATTGATCTAGAAAATGTAATGTATATGCAAATGTATTGGGGGGTTCTAGTGTAAGTTAGACTGCCACTCTCAAGGAAGCAAATCCAAACCCCTGAGCTGGATTAGTAGTATAGATACATACTCATAATAATCTTTGGCAGAACAGAATGAGTGAATGACTGCTGCCTGTAAATTAAACATGGCCGGAATTGTATGATGGAGCACATTCATTGTCGGTCTCGCTAACTAACAGCCAGCGGCTCGGCCTGGCTCGTAGTTGTATGCCAACAAATTAAATACACCCTACATGGGTTTCCGCTACCTAGCCAGATCTTCCAACTCACACTAAGTTACCTACCTGCTGCCTGCCTGCCTGCCTATGATGATGGATGGATGGATGGATGGATGATGCTCACAAAATTTCCAATAGCTGTATGTATGTATGTGTGTTTGTTTGTGCTCTTCTCCTTCTAAGTAACCACCAATCCAACATTTTCACTATAATTAATTAGTAATGATATCTTCAAAAAATGATTCCTTGCGAGGCTAACTTTATCTCCTTATGTTTGTTGTTTAGGTCACTAAAACCATTGTTACAAAACCTTTTTCATTCCTATTTTTTAATGGATTGGATTTGGATGGTCAAGGGGCTGGCAGTTGATCTTTTCAACTATTCAGCTAAAGACAACTGAATAGTTCAACTGTCAGCTAAAGACAACTGAATAGTTAACAAATAGTTAAACTATTTGTTATTTTGTTTAAGCTTGCGTTCTCTGTGGAATTACCCGTTTGAATGAATGAATGAATTATTAACATGTGGATTTTTAGTTTTCTTTCAAACCATGTAGGCTTCAATTCACTAATAAATATGTTTTCAATGTTGCAGCTATGAGATGAACCTAACTTATGACAGTTGATAATTATTAATGATGCATGATGTGCAAAATACAAATTTGGCCGTTTCTGGACCATTTTGGTTTATTTAATTAACTGGAACCCCAATGAGATGGATTTTAAGGGTGGGCAAACTGGTACAGGGACCACAAGTCCAGCCGGGTAATACAGGTTCGGGCGGGTTAGGGTCGGTTCCTAATTTTAGAAAACTCAAACGGTTCGGGGCGGGTCGGGTGCTTAAAAACTTAGGAACCGAATAGGTCTTAAAATTTGAAAATACGGGTACCCGGGCCGAACCGTTTTAAAATATTACTTTAATAAACTCTATTATATTTAATAATACACTAATAACACCCAAAAGCTCTTCATGATTTTATGTCTAGACAAAGACACTCAATTAAAGAAACTTGTCAATCAATTAAAAAGGGTTTACAAGTTCGTATGAAGTCCTAAATACTTTCCCCAATTATTTATTCCAAATTTATCAAATTTTCTCTTTAATATTTTTTGTAAACAAAGACTCTTACTTAATGAAGTGTGCATATTCAATTAATTATTTTAATTTATATTATATTTTGAGATTTAATAAGCTTTAAATCGTTTTCGTAGACAAATATGTAGAGTAACTAGTTTAATTTCTTATGACTTTATAGTGCTATTTTTTTGTTTATGAAGGATGATTAACATTTTAAATTAGATGGTTGTGTTCTGTTTAATTTATAGATTTGTAGTTAAATATTTTATTAACTAATTTAAAATGTTGTTTGTATATTTTTATTTTGAATTTTAACTATATTATGGTTACATTAATACTTAATTAGTTTGATAATTTTATACCTTACTAAAAACTTTGCTAGCATAGCCGTATTTTTATAACAAAAAAACGAAATGAGGACTCGGACCGAACCGGCCCGTTTCAAATGGGGCCGGTATGGTTCGGTTCCTATTTTGAGACTTGGTATAACCTAATAACTACTACACATTTCTAATTGCGTGAAACTATAATAGCTTGAATTTTAGTTAAAAGCGCAGTTATCTTCAATAGTTCATTTGAATGTCTTCCCGATTGAATTGTTAGTTGAAATTTGGTATGAGTAAACTATACTTAATGAATAAGATGCTCAAAAAATTTCATCAAAAAATTCCACCGGAAACCACCTCAAATGACGACGGCCAGACAGAGCCTCCTATATAAGGGCTTACTTGACCTTTTTATGTAAGTTTGAGGGCCTATTTGACCCTTTTCCCAAAAACAAATATAGCAAATCAAAGTCACAATAGAATAAAAGGTTTCAAAGGATAATGACGGCGACAACAAACTGCATATTAATATATTATTATGAATGGCAGCGATAAAATTTTCATTACATTGAGTTATCGAGGATAATATGATCTAATTAAATAAAATAACTATGATTGAACTTATAGTATGATCCATATGATAATTTATGGAAATTTGAGTTTTCAAATATAGTGATATTATTAAAATTGTGCGCGCGCAGTTAAAAAAATGAGAAAATGAGTACAATAGGCTAGACTATTGTATTCTAGTGATTTAAAAAAAAAAGACTATTTTATTCTAGTTCAACAATCTCATTGATAAGTTGGTGACTTGGAGTCTTGGAGCTATTAAACACATCTTACCTTTTTTTGACACATTGACCTGTAGATTTAAATGATCTCATTGCATAAATTCATACATGAATAAAATTCATGTTCATGATTTTGAAATGTTTTTAAGAATTGTTTTCTCAATTAAAAAGTAACCAAAGAATTAGTTTTTGAGGTTGATTGTATGATTTTAATTTGAATCCCCTTTTGTATTTTAGTACCAAATTAAATCATGCGACATCATTTCAAATTTGGTGATAAATAAAAAATTACTCATGAAGATTTTAAAAATATTTATGATTAACTCTTCCAAATATATATATATGATTAACTCCACAATAAGATAATTTAATTTTGCATGCCAATCTCACTTCTGTTTGTATTATGATTAACTCCATAGTAAGCTAATTAACTCCCAATTTTACTCATCAATTATAGGGATGACTCTATTAAAAATGTTTTTAATTCGACTGATCTTTTTTGTATGATTTGTCTATTCTTATCGAATCTGGTCTGATCATAATATATGGGGTTTTTCAACTCTTTTTTCAAATAGATTTACCACATCCAAGTGATCCAACTAATAATCCAGATGCAGCATTTCAAAATTTAGCCACATACAATAGTCTCTAGTTCAAACAATAACTCTTAATTCAGACATTAGCCTCCACATACTGCTCGAAATGCCAAACATAGCCCTAATCTATGAGCTCGTTTGAAAACCCTTGTTTTCAGCTTATCAGCAATTTTTTTACCAAACACGTAGTTTTAACTTCACGCGCTGAATTGAGAAATTATCAAAATAATTCAATTTCGAGTAATATTATGACTTGACTAAAGTTACTGTAGAGCACCAATTTTGTATTTTCATGTATTTTTTCCCTAGATTTATTAACAAAATACTACCTATGTCCCATAAAACTTGACCAACTTTTCTTTTTTGGCCACCCAAAAAAATTTGTCATTTCCATTTAAAGTACGGAGTAACAAATAGAGATGGCAACGGGGCGGATCGGGTACGATTTTACATATAACCGTACCCGCCCCGTTGGGTAATACCCCCGCCCCGTAACCGCCCCATTACCCAACGGGTAATTTTTACCCAAACCATAACCGCCCCAACGGGTAACGGGTATAACTGCGGGTAACCGCAAGCAATTGCTTTATTAAATAAATCATGGGAAAATAACTTTAAATAATACATACTTTAGAAATAACTTTTAATAATATCAACTATCTAAATGTGAACCCAAAATAAAATAGAGACACTTTTCTATAAGAAATTCAGCCATTTAAAATGTCAAAAACTAAGATCAAATCATCAAATAATTGATATTTGAAAAACGGTCACTTATTTGATATTTTGATATTAGTTTTTGATGAATTGAATAAATGAATTTTTAGTGAAAATTTGCTATATATCACTTTTGATAGATATTCAAATAGTTGGTATTATTAAAAGTTATTTATCAAGTTGGTATTATTCTTGGTTTATATGGAAGATAGTTGGTATTATTTAAAGTTATTCTCCCATAAATCGTTGATATTTAAATATAAAAATAATATTTTAAAAAGACGAAAAGGGTATCACCTAGACGACTTTAGATTCATACGCCACTTTAAAGTTTTGTATATTTATAAGACGAGAAGAAACACAACCTAAATTAATTTGAATCTAAAAATACTTAATATTAATCACAAAAAAATGATAATAATCAAACAATACTATTAAGATTTGTTATGAACTTCTATTCATACACTATAGTTAGTACATCTATTATTCATATACACAAAATGTAAATAGAAAAATCTTATCTTTTAGTAATTGTGGGACAAATAATAAATGAAAATATAATAAAAAATAGACAAAAATAAACGGGGCGGATACAGGGCAGGTAATGGGTGGGCATGTATAAAACCGTAACCGCCCCGTTACCCGTAAAAACAAAACGGGTATTCCCCGCCCCGTACCCATTACCCGGTCAATGCGATTTTCCCTGTTTTGACCGGTGCGGTTCGGTGCGGGTATCATCGGTTCGGTCACAATTGTCATCCCTAGTAACAAATATGTGGCTAAAGTTATTTCTCTCGCCTCACACAAATATCAACCACACAGTTTTTACTTTATTAATCTACGTGCAAGTCAACATTGGCCAAGTTTAATCAGATGAAAGGAGTATGTATTAAATAATTTTTTTCAATAATTCAGTCAATGCAGCCACTTCAGATCAGACATAATTTCACAATTTCAACATATTTATCTTGTTCAGTGAATTTCAATGTTAACAAACGGGCCCTATGTGTCGAAATAAGGAATTGCTTTATATGCTCCGAGAATTACTAAACCTAACCCATGTGAAATTAGTCCAAACAAAAAAGTGGAAATTACCCATACGGTCCGCTTTTGTGTGGCACATATCATTTATGTCTCAAGGATTATTCCTTTTCATTTTTAATCTTTCGTGTCTTCGATTATGTTTATGGGGTTAAGACTACGATATTACTTAAAAACTACCGGTGGACATAAAAAAGTACTTATGTTTTAATTTCCAAAAATGAGATTAAAATTTACTAATAGGACCATTACACCCTTAATGAACCCAGGACCACCTAGCATACTACAGTGACCCGGTACAGTGACCAAAGTGACCAGAAGTGTTCAGTGACCAAAGTGACCAATATTTACAGTGACCAAAGTGACCAGAAGTGTTCAGTGACCAAAGTGACCAATATTTACAGTGACCAAAGTGACAATTATCACAGTGACTCAGTCAAGCAGTGACCAATGGCACAGTTACCAATGCTCGGTGACCACCGTCTAATGACCACTGCCATAGTGACCAATAAGGGTTAAGCTTACTAATTTACCCGTATAGTTACAAACTAGCCATAGTGACACTCGTTATAGTGACTACCGCCACAGTGACCACGGCCTCCGCTGCCGGCCATTGACCACCGCCGTCGCCACCGGCCGGTAACTGTCACTGGTGACATATCCGCAGTGACACCTCCATAGTGACACTTTCGTAGTGACTCCGATACAGTTACTTCTACCACATTTATCAGGTCAGATTTACCACCGGAAACCACCACCGGCCAAAACCGCTAGGCACCACCACCAGTTCCTTTTCGACACAAACCCCGAACCCGACCACCACCATCCCCCAGCCCCACCTCCAGCATTGGCCCCTGCTACCTCCGGCCACCGCCGTCGGCCAGTGACTGCCGCCACCGCCGCTGACCAGACACCGGACAAAGATACTTCTGCCACATTTACCCAATTAGACAGTGACCATAGGAAACCACCACTATCCAAATCGGTCAGCCCCTA